ATTAGGAAAGAGGAGAAAGAAGAAAAAGAAGGAAGAAATAGGAAAGAGAAAAAGAAAGAAGAAAAGGAGAAATAGAAAGAGAAAAAGAAGGAAAAGAAGGAAGAAATAGGAAAGAGAAAAAGGAAGGGCAGAAACAGGAAAGAAAAAGAAAGAAGGAAAGGAAGAAATAGGAAAGAAAAAAGAAGGAAAAGAAGAAATAGAAAAGAGAAAAAGAAAGAAGGGAAGGAAGAAATAGGAAAGAGAAAGAGTAAAAAGGAAAGGAAAAAATAGGAAAGAGAAAAAGAAAGAAGGAAAAGAAAAAATAGGAAAGACAAAAAAAGAAACCAGGGAAGGAAGAAATAGAAAGAAGGAAGCAGAGAGACAAAGAAAGAATGAGAGGAAGAGAGTATGAGAGAGAGTGGGAAAGAGACAGGGAGAGAGATTGAGAATAGATAGAAGAAGAAAAAGAGAGAGAATAATAGAAGAAGAGAGAGAGGGTGATAGGAAGAGAGAAAATTAGGGAGAAAAATAGGGTAGGAGAAAATGAGGAGAAGAGGAAGAGAGAGAATGAGAGAGAATGGAAGAAAGGATGAACTAGAAAGGGAGAGATGAGAGAAAGGAGAGAGAGAGAAATCAGGAAGGAGACAGAAATGAAGAGAAAAGGAAAGAGAGAAAGAAAGGGAGACAAAAAAGACGGAAAGAGAAAGACGGAAATAGAGAAAATAAAAGAAGAGAGAAACCAGAAAGGCGAAAAGAGAAGATGAAGACAAAAGAGAAGGAAAGAAAGAAAAAGAGAAAGAAGGAAAGAGAGAAAGATAGAGGGAAGGAAGGAAGGAGGGAAGGAAGGAAGGAAGAAAGAGAGAAAGAAGGAAAGGAATGAAAGAAGAAAAAGAAAATGCAAAAAGAAAAAGGAAAGAAGGAAGCAAGCAATGAGTGAGGAAGAGAGGAAGGGAAGGAGGGAGGAAGAGAGAAAGAGAGAGAGATACACACAAAGTCATTTCCCGTCTTCTCTTTCTTTCTTTCTTTCTTTCTTTCTTTCTTTCTCTCCTTCCTTCCTTCTGCTCTCTCTTTCTTTCCTTAATCCCCTTTTCCCTTTCTTTTTTCTCTTTCCTTACTTCTTTCTGTCTTCTCTGTCTTTTTCTTTCCTTCCTTTATTTCTCTTTCTTTGCTTTCTTTCTTTCTTTCTTTCTTTCTTTCTTTCTCTTTGTTTCTTCCTTCTTTCACTCTATTTTCTCTTTCTTTCTTTCTTTCTTTCTTTCTTTCTTTCTTTCTTTCTTTCTTCTTCTTCTTCCTTCCTTCCTTCCTTCCTTCCTTCCCCTTCTTTCATGCCTCCATCCATCATCCATCTCTCCCTTTCTGCCTCTCTCTCCCTTCCTTCTTCTTTCCTTCCTTCCTCTATCCCTCCTTCCTTCCTTCCTTCCTTCCTTTCTTTCTTTCTTTCTTTCTTTCTTTCTTCCTTTCCTTCCTCCCCCTTTTTCATTTCTTTTTACTTTCTTTCCTTCCTCCTTTCTCTGTCTTTTTCTTTCCTTCATTTCTTTCTTTCTTTCTTTCTTTCTCTCTCTCTCTCTTTCTTTCTTTCTTTCTTCCTCTCCATTTCTTCCTTTCTTCTTTCTCTTTCTTTCTTCCTTCCTTTCTTTCTTTCTTTCTTCTTTCCCTCTCTCCTTTCATACCCCCATCCATCTGTCCATCCCTTCCTTCCTTCCTCCCCCTCTCCCTTCCTTCCTCTTTCTTCCTTCCTTCCTCCTTCCTTCCCTTTTTCCTTTTTTCTTTCTTCCCTTCCTCCTTCCTCTGTCTTTTTCTTTCCTTCCTTTATTTCTTTCTCTTTTTCTTTCTTCCCCTCCGTTCCTTCCTTTCTTCTTTCACTCTCCTCTTTCTTTCTTTCTTTCTTTCTTTCTTTCTTTCTTTCTCTCTCTCTCTCTCTTTCTGTCTTCTTTCTTTCTCTCTCTTTCTTTCTTCTTTCTCTCTCTTTCTGTCTTCTTTCTTTGTTTCTCTCTTTCTGTCTTCTTTCTCTTTCTTTCTTTCTTTCTTTCTTTCTTTCTTTCTTTCTTCTCTCTCTCTCTCTCTCTCTCTCTCTCTTTCTTTCTTTCTTTCTTTCTTTCTTTCTTTCTTTCTTTCTTTGTCTCTCTTTCTTTCCCTTCCTTTCTCCTTCCTTTCTACCTTCTTTCCTTTCTCCCTCTCTTCCTTCCTTCTCCTCCCTTCCTTCCCCCCTTCCTTCCCAGTGAAACCCGCATCTCCGGGCCGCCTGCACTTCCAGTGGCTGGAGGAGGACGCCCTCACGGTGACGTGTGCCGGCCTCAATTTCCCTGACCTGCTCTACGAGATCCAGCACCGGACCGTCTTTGACTCCGAGTGGCAGGTGGGCACCAGGCGGCAGAGACGGGGCAGCCCCTTGGTGTGGACACTCAGGCCAGCGCAGGCTACTGGGTCCGAGAACGTCTGCCTGGAGGCCGAGTTCCTTCTTCTTTGGGAAAACCGGACACACACACACACACACACACACACACACACACACACACACACACACATATATATGCCTTCACCTGATTAGATACGGCCCACCCACCCCCACAGTGGTGCGTGGCCTCGAACCCGAGAAGCCGTGGACCCTCACGACGGTTGATCAGCCCAAAGGCACCGTTGCTGGGGCCGCCCTCCGTTTCCTCCAGACCCCAACAGACGGGGGCCTCGGTTTCCCTCCACCGGGTGGACCATCCACTGATTAGATGAGACCCACCGTGGGGTGGACGGACTTGATCCCAAGTGAGCGTGACCCTCGCTTGACCGCCAAGGGGCGTCCGTGTACTGATTAGACGTGGCCCACCCATAGTGGACTCGCACTCGGGGCGGAGCCTTCTGGAACCTTCTGGAGTTTTCAGGAGGCTGCCGTTCGGACCCCCGCACTGACCGGTGGACGCCCATCCCCGTCCCCCCAGTCCCAGGCCGAGGAAACCTGCAACGTCACCATCCTGGGTGTGGACGCCCACAAGTGTTACTCGTTCCGGGCCCGCGTGAGGACGCAGGAGCACAGCTACGGCCCCGACGCCCACCCCAGCGACTGGTCCCCCGTGGTCCACCAGCAGGGCCGGACGCGGGCAGGTGAGGGAACCGTACGGCCACAGCCACGAAGCTTGGGGGTCTTCGGGGATGGGGTGTGGGTGGGTGGATGGATGGATGGACAGACAGAGGGATGGATGGAGGGAAGGAGGGAGGGAGGGATGGACGGATGGAGGGATGGGTGGGTTGATGGATGGATGGACAGACGGATGGATGGATAGATGGACGGATAGATGGATGGATGGATGGATGGATGGATGGATGGATGGATGGGCGGATGAATGGATGGGTGGATGGATGGACGGATGGACAGATGGATGGATGGATGGATTGATGTGTGGGTGGGTCAATGGATGGACGGACGGACGGACAAGTGGGTGGGTGGATGGATGGATGGATGGATGGGTGGATGGGTGGACAGACAGACAGATGGTAGGATGGATGAATTGATGGGCAGGTGGGTGGATAGATGGATGGATGGATGGATGGACGGATGGATGAATGGATGGATGGATGGATGGATGGGTGGGTGGATGGATGGACAGACAGACAGATGGTTGGATGGATGAATTGATGGGCAGGTGGGTGGATGGATGGATGGATGGATGGATGGATGGATGGATGAGTGGGTGGATGGATGGCTGGGTGGGTGGATGGATGGATGGATGGAAGGATGGATGGGTGGATGGATGGATGGATGGATGGATGGACGGACGGATGGTTGGGTGGATGGATGGATGGACGGATGGATGCTTGGGTGGATGGATGGACGAACAGGTGGATGGATGAATGGATAGATGGACAGATGGATGGGTGGATGGATGAATGGATGGATGGATGAATGGATGGATGGATGGATGGATGGGTGGGTGGCTGGATGGACAGACAGACAGATGGTTGGATGGATGAATTGATGGGAAGGTGGGTGGATGGATGGATGGATGGGTGGGTGGGTGGGTGGATGGATGAATGGGTGGGTGGATGGGTGGATGGATGGACGGATGGGTGCATGGATGGATGGATGGAAGGATTGGTGGGTGGATGAGTGGATGGGTGGGTGGACGTGTGGATTGGTGGACAGTGGATGGATAATCAATGGATGACCAGTGGACGGATATCTAATGGACAGTGGACAGTCCCTGCCTGCGGGTAGATGGCTCTCAGCGACTGTGTGGCTGGACGCTGGCTGCGGTGGTCAGTACCGTGGACGGCAGGTGGACGGACGCCGCCTACTGAGCCCAGTCTGCAGAGCTGTCCCCCACGGAGATGGCCGCATGGGGCTGACCCCCTCACACCATCACCCCGGCGAGTCACCGCCCTCCTTGTGCCGAACGCCCCCTGCCCCGGACCCCCACCCGTGCCCCCTGCAACAACCCACTTCTCTGCCCCAGAGTCCTGCCCGCCGCCGCCACCGCCCGATGCCTCCTCTCGGACCCTCCCCAAGTTCGTGGTGGCCTGCGGCCTCGTGGTGGTCCTGACTCTGCTGCTGACGCCCCTGTCGCTGTGGAAACTGCAGAGGTCAGCGCGGCCCCCCACCCCCATGACCTCCACCCCACCCGTCACCCACACTGGGACCCCTGGGTGTGCTTGAAGGGGGCAACCACCCACCTGCCCGCAGCTGTGCCCAGCGGGGCAGAATCCGGGCCCCCTCCCCAGGCCCGGCAATGGCTGGGGACCGGGCGGTGGGTGGGGGGTGACCAGGAGAGAGACAGCAGGTGGGCGAGGGGGGTGTTTAGGGGCCTGATAGGTGGCTCAGTGGTCAGCGTGTGCAGCTGTAGTTGGGGGCGTGCAGGGGAGCCTGGGAGGTGGTTCAATGGTTAGAGCACATGCGAGTATCGGGGTAGAGCAGGGGTGGCTCGAGGGTCTGGTGCGGGGGCAGCTGGGGGCCCGGGCCCCGGCCTGACCGTCCACCCCCCGCCTGCAGGGTGAAGAGGATCCTGCTGCCCAGTGTGCCTGACCCCAGGGTCACCTTTCCCGGCCTCTTCGACACCCACCAGGGTGACTTCCAGGTGTGACTCGGTTGCTGCCGGCGGCCGCCTCCCCCCTGCCCGCAGCCCCCGGGGGCACTGGACGTGTGTCACTGGCTGAAACTCCGGCCGGCGTGTCCAGGCCTGACCGTCCCGACAACCACAGCCCCAGAAGGACCCCCAAACTGGCCTCAGCTCAGCTCAGGACCATCACACACACACACACACCATCAGACCATCTCACACACACTCACACCATCAGACCATCTCACACACACACTCACACCATCAGGCCCTCTCACACACACCATCACACACACACACCCTCACACCATCTCATACACACACCCTCACACATATACACCCTCACACATCTCACTCACACATCCTCACACACACACTCGCACCCTCAGACCATCTCATACACACACACCCTCAGACATACACTCACACCATCTCACACACACACCATCACACACATACACTCCATCTCCCCCCCAAACACACACCTCACACACACCCTCACACTATCTCACACACACATCCTCACACCATCTCACACACACATCCTCACACCATCTCACACACACACCGTCTCACACACACAATCTCACACCATCTCACACACACACACACACCGTCTCACACACACAATCTCACACAATCTCACAAACACACCATCAGACTATCTCACCATCTCACACACACACCCTTACACATCTCACACACACACCATGACACCATCTCACACACACCCTCACACTATCTCAGACACACACACCCTCCCACCATCTCACACACACACTATCTCAGATACACACTCACCATCTTACACACACCATCACACACACCCTCACACCATGTCACACACACCCTCACACCATCTCACACACACCATCTCACACACACACCATCTCACACACACCCTCACACCATCTCATACACACACCATTCACACACACACCCGAAGACCATCTCACAGAAACTCACAACCCCCCCACACACCCTCAGACCATCTCACACACACACACACCATCAGACCATCTCACACACACACACACACCATCAGGCCATCTCACACACACCATCACACACACACACCCTCACACCATCTCATACACACACCCTCACACATATACACCCTCACACATCTCACTCACACATCCTCACACACACACTCGCACCATCAGACCATCTCATACACACACACCCTCACACATACACTCACACCATCTCACACACACACCATCACACACATACACTCCATCTCCCCCCAAACACACACCTCACACACACCCTCACACTATCTCACACACACATCCTCACACCATCTCACACACACACCGTCTCATACACACAATCTCACACCATCTCACACACAAACACCGTCTCACACACACAATCTCACACCATCTCACACACACACAACGTCTCACACACACAATCTCACACAATCTCACAAACACACCATCAGACTATCTCACCATCTCACACACACACACCCTCACACATCTCACACACACACCATGACACCATCTCATACACACCCTCACACTATCTCAGACACACACACCCTCACACCATCACACACATTATTTCACAGACACACTTTCACCATCTCACACACACACCCTCACACCATCTCACACACACTATCTCACAGACACACACTCACCATCTCACACACACCATCACACACACCCTCACACCATCTCACACATACACCATCTCAGACACACACCCACCCTTACCCCATCTCACACACACCCTCACACCATCTCACACACACACCATCTCACACACACCCTCACACCATCTCATACACACACCATTCACACACACACCCGAAGACCATCTCACAGAAACTCACAACCCCCCCACACACCCTCAGACCATCTCACACACACACCATCTCACACACACCCTCACACCATCTCATACACACACCATTCACACACACACCCGAAGACCATCTCACAGAAACTCACAACCCCCCCACACACCCTCAGACCATCTCACACACACACACACACACACACACACACACACCCTCACACCATCTCACACACACACAGACACACAGACACACAGACACACACACACCCCTCCTCTCACGTCTTCTTCCCAGCCAGTGTTGGAGCCCAGAAAATCTGGGTGATTAGGAGGAATTGGAGCTGCAAGAGGGTGTGTGTGTGTGTGTGTGTGTGTGTGTGTGTGTGTGGTGGGAGGTAGGTGGGAGTGGGCCAGGGATAATTTTTATTTATTTTTGTTTTGCTTTTGGGGGTCCCACCTGGCAAGGCTCAACAGTCACTCCTGGCTCTGCACACACTCAGGAATCTCTCCTCGGCGGCCAGTGTTCGTGGCCCCTCACTGACCACTGACCACTGACCCCCCCTTACAGGAGTGGATCGAGCAGACGCAGAATGTGGGCAGAATGGACACTTCGTGCCCGGACCGGGCCCCCGAGGAGACGCTACTGGTGCCTTGGACCGTGGAGGAATCCCCGAGCCCTGCAGTGACCACAGCTCCGTCCCTCCCCCCCGAGTCCCCGGAGCGGACCCCTGGGCCGCCCCCAGGAGATGACAGTCAGCTGGTCCACCTCCAGGAATTCACCTTCGTCCTCCACGATGATGCCTACGTGACATTCTGAGCTCCGTGGTGGACCGCTGGACGCGGCATCCAGGGACCTGCTGACCATGGACACACTGACCGCCCCGGACTCCTCGGCCGGCCCCGGGAACGGTCCAGCCGGTGTCTACGGATCTGACCCATGTTGGGGGGACGGACAGGACCCTTTTGAGTCTTTCCACGCGTGACCCCGGGTCCTGTCCACTTGGGCAGCCCGATCTTCCTGAGCCCTCGGTGGACACAGCCTGGACTCTGGGTCCAGCCTGGACGATTCTCCTCGTGGTCACTAGCTGCCAATTCTTGGGATCGAGGAACCAGCAAGCAGAGAGACCCTCGGACATGGTCATGGGCTGATGGACCCTCGGTCATCTGGACCGTCCATCCTCTCCTTAAACTCCCCACAGCCCACCCTGGGGTCCTGGGGGACGAGGACCCACCCCAGGGTCCTCCTTGACCGTCCATCCCCTCCTTATACTCCCCCACTCCCCCTCCCCCACACAGCCCATCCAGGGGTCGTGACCTCTTTGTTTTTTGTGGTCTGTGACAGTTGTATACAGTTGCACAGTGGTTGATACTAAATGTTCTTTTGAAAATTGTTACAAAGTTTCTTTTTAATGTTAGACACTGTGAACTGAGAATCTGCTGATGCAAAGATACTTAGTTACTATTGGAAGCTACACCCAGCAATGCTCAGGGCTGACTCCTGGGTCTGTGCTCAGGGCTGATTCCTGGCTCTGTGTTCAGGGATGATTCCCAACTCTCTGCTCAAGGCTGACTCCTGGCTCTGTGCTCAGGGCTGACTCTTGGCTCTGTGCTCGGGGCTGACTCTTGGCTCTGTGCTCGGGGCTGACTCCCGGCTCTGTGCTTGGGGCCAACTCTTGGCTCTGTGCTCGGGGCTGACTCCAAACTCTCCGCTCAAGGCTGACTCCCATTTCTGTGCTTGGACTGACTCCCCACTCTGTGCTCAGGACTCATTCCTGGCTCTGTGCTGGGGGCTCACTCCTGGCTCTGTGTCAGGGCTGACTACTGGCTCTGTGCTCAGGGCTGACTCCCAGCTCTGTGCTCAAGACTCATTCCTGGCTCTGTGCTCAGGGCTGATTCCTGGCTCTGTGTTCAGGACCACGCGTGTGTGTCTGGCTTTGGTGGCCGCCAGGCAGGAGCAGGAACCTGGTTTTCCACTCAGGGACCTCAGTTTGCTCTGCAGCCTGGCAGGGCCGGAGCCAGGAACTGCCACAGAGGAGCCCGGCAGTGCTCAGGGCTGCAGCCAACAGCCCCCGGAAACACAGTTCCACGCTGAGTAGCTCCCTAGCCTTCCCGGTTCTGCAGATGGGGACGTTCACCCACAGGCAGGGCAGGGGTCACCCACGTCCGCCCACCCCTCCCCGTAGTAGTAACAGCCAGGGCTGTGCTGGGGGCCTCCCGCCCCCCCTCCCCCGGCAAGTACTGCGTGCGCCGTGATGGTATCACCCTTGCCTGCCCTTGTGTGAGCTCCTTATCACTCTCCGGGATCGAGCAGGAAGTGACAGTTAAGGGCTGGGGACACTGGGTTGGGTACGATGGGGACTTGGCAAACCTCCCCACACCCCATCTGTGTGTCAGAGGCCGGGGGTGGAGGAAGCCCTGATTAGATCCGGGGAAAAAAAAAAGCAGATGCATTAAAAAAAAAGACACGCAAGAGGACAGGCGGGACCCAGGCTTGGTCCTTCCCCGAATGTGAGGTCCGCAGAGCACCCCGGCCTTGGGGGGTCGGGGAGATGGTTCGGGGAATCCAGGGGGGCAGGGTGGGAGAGAAAGAAAAGGAAATTTAAATAAAGAGAAGAGGAAAAAAAGAGAGGAAAGGGGAAAAGTGAGAAGGGAAAGAAAATAAAGAAAAGAAAAACAAGAGAAAAGAAAAAGAATGGAAAAAAAGTCAAAAATCAAAAAAAAAGTCAAAAATCAAAAAAGTCAAAAATCAAAAAAGTCAAAAATCAAAAAAACAGGAGAACAGGAAAAAGAGTAAGAAAGATTCTTATTCTTTTTTTGTGATTTAAATGTATTATTTTATTACTTATTATTAAGAGGGGAAAGGATTTTAAAGTATAACGGAAAGAAAAAAAAGGAAAAAAAAGCACAATGATTTGTAAATCTACAACTGCACCTCATGGTGTTTCACTAATAAAAATTTAAAAAGGAAAAATGAAGAAGAAAGAAAAGTAATGAGAAGAAAAACAGAAGAAAGAACAAAGGAAGAAAAAGAAAAAATGAAGCAGGCAATGAAAAGCAGAAAAAAGTAAAAAGAAAAATTAAGGAAGTAATGAGAAGAAAAACAGAACAAAAAGAAAAAGAAAAAAGGAGAAGTAATGGAAAGAAAAACAGGAAAAAGAAAGAAAGAAGGAAAATAATGAAAAGAAAAACAGAAAACAGAAAAAAGGAAAACAAGAAAAATAGTGAAAAGAAAAACAGAAAAATAAAAAGAAAAACAGGGGAAAAAAGAAAAAAGAAAAATAATGAAAAAAAGGGAAAAAAGAAAAAAGAAAAATAATGAAAAAAAGGGAAAAAAGAAAAAAGAAAAATAATGAAAAAAAGGGAAAAAAGAAAAAAGAAAAATAATGAAAAAAAGGGAAAAAAGAAAAAAGAAAAATAATAAAAAGAAAACAGAAAACAAAAAAAGTAAAACCAGAAAAAATAGTGAAAAGAAAAACAGAAAAACAGAAAAATAATGAAAAGAAAAACAGGAAAATAATAAAAAGAAAAAAAGGGGGAAAAAGAAAAATACTGAAAAGAAAAACAGGAAAAAAAGAAAAAAGGAAAATGATGAAAAGAAAAAAGGGGGAAAAGGAAAATAATGAAAAGAAAAATAGAAACAGAAAAAAGAAAAACAAGAAAAAATAGTGAAAAGAAAAACAGAAAAATAATAAAAAGAAAAACAGGGAAAAAAAGAAAAAAGGAAAATAATGAAAAAAAAGAGAAAAAAGGGAAAATAATGAAAAGAAAAACAGAAACAGAAAAAAGAAAAACAAGAAAAAATAGTGAAAAGAAAAACAGAAAAAAAACAAGAAAAAAATAGTGTAAAGAAAAACAGAAAAGCAATAAAAAGTAAAACAAAAATAATGAAAAATAAAACCAGGGAAAGAAAAAGTAAAATCATGAGAAGAAAAACAGAAAAAAGAAAGAAGAAGAAAGGAAAATCATGACAAGAAAAATGGAAAAAAAGGAAAAAATAGAAGAGAAATCAGGGAAAGAAAAACAGAAAAAAGATAAAAGATAAAAGAAGGAGGAAATGTAAAAGAAGGAAAAAAACAGGAAAAGAAGAAAAATAATCATATAAAGAAAAAGCAGGGGAAAAAAAGAAAAAAAGGGAAAAAAAAAGAAACCAAAAAGAAAAAAAAAACAGGGTGAATAACTGAAGGCGACAGGGATGTCTGGGAAGGGTGTGACCATCGTAACCGCATCCACCTCCCGCACGGCCCCTCCTGGACGCTGCCGGCTGTGTTCCATCCGTCCGTCTGTCTGTCTGCTGGGGCCGTGCTGGCAGCAGAGCCGGGGTCCGGGTGGTGTGCGGACGGACAGCTGTGTGTCGCGGCTGCCCCTGGGGCCGTCCACTGCCCGCCGGCCCCAGGGTGGACATCTAGGCCAGGGCAGGTGGGACTGGCCGCAGCTCACGGGGCCCCCACAGGGTCAGCCCTGGGTCCTTGTTGACAGGCCCCGGCCTGGGGGCTGAGTCTGCACACACACACACACACACACAGCCTCGCTCGAACACACAGACACACACGCCAACACGGCTACACAACCACAGCCACAGAGACACACACAGACACACACACACAGCAGCCTCATTCAGACACACAGACATAGAGACAGGCACACACAAGTTTGTCTACACAACCACAGTCAGATAAGCACACACACACACACAGCCTCACTCGGACACGCAGACACACACGCAAACACGGCTACACAGCCACAGTCAGATTGGCACACACAGAGACAGACACACACACACAGACTCACACACACAGACACGCATAGAGACACACACATAGACAAAGGCACACAGAGGCACACAGACTCACACATAGAGAAACACACGGACGTGGAGACACAGAGAAAGGCAGACACACACACAAACATGTGTATACAGTCACAGTCAGATAGACACATACAGAGACACACACAGCCTCATTCAGACACGCAGACACAGAGACAGACACACACAAACATCTCTACACAGCCACACTCAGATAAGCACACACAGACACAGACACAGACACACACACAGCCTCATTCAGACATGCAGACACAGAGACAGACACACACAAACACGTGTTCACAGCCACATCCAGATAGACACACACAGACACACACATATCCTCATTCAGACATAGGGACAGGCACACACAAACATGTCTACATAACCACAGTCAGATAAGCACACACAGACACAGACACACACAGAGACTCATTCAGACATGCACGCAAACACGGCTACACAGCCACCGTCAGATAAGCACACCAGACACAGACACACGCACACACAGCCTCACTCAGACATGCAGACACACACGCAAACACGGCTACACAGCCACAGTCAGAGAGGCACACACAGAGACAGACATACACACACAGACACACAGACTCACACATACAGAGGCACACATGCAGAGGCACACACATAGAGACAGGCACACAGACACACACACAGACTCACACATAGAGACACACAGACGTGGAGACACAGAGAAAGACAGACACAAACACGTGTACACAGCCACAGCCAGATAGACACACACAGACACACACAGCCTAATTCAGACGTGCAGACACAGAGACAGACACACACACACAAACACGTCTTCACAGCCGCAGTCAGATAGACACATACAGACACACACACAGCCTCATTCAGACACACAGACATAGAGACAGACACACACAAACATCTCTACACAGCCACACTCAGATAAGCACACACAGACACAGACACACACACACAGCCTCATTCAGACATGCAGACACAGAGACAGACACAAACAAACATGTGTACACAGCCA